TTTTTTTTTTTTTATAGAGTATGTGTGTGTGTACTCTTGCTAGGAGGAATGCTCTGGCTTTTCTTACCTGTTTATAAACTTTTTGCCAGGATGTGGACTTCTTACTAGCAGTCATCTTGAGAGTTTGGGAGGCAGGTACAGAGAAAATAGTTAACTATGTTGTAGAATCTAAGCAACCTTGTGGAATCTGGCTTGGTATCAGACGGAGTATTTGGGAATGAATGTACTGGCATGTGATCCTGTCATGTCATCACTGGTCTAGTGTCCTCTTGTGTGGAGACTGAAATGGTAGCTGGTGTCTTAAACTATACATGTGCTTACCACAGCTCTTTGTCAGTTATTCTGACCTGGATATTTCTGGTTGCTTTGGTCTCCCTCAGAACTGCCTATTGCTGGTTTTTGGGGTGTAATCTTTTAAAGGTAACAAAGCTCTTCCTTCTTATCAATAAACTAGAAAGAACCTATAAACTTCTGTAGTTAGAACAGCTTCCTAATCTTAGCTTCTGCTCTCTTAAACAGTAATTGTCTCCATTGCCTCTGTATATAACTTCATTCTGACTGAAAGCTTTTGTTTCTGAGCATTCGGCCTTGATTTGTGCTCTGGTAATAAGCATCTAACTTTGAAAAACTTAATATGCTTCAAGTATAACTTCTTAGTTCTGCACATATGGGGTTCCTGCGCTGTACCCTGACCACATATTCAGAGAGAAGACAAAAAAAATAAAAAAGAAAAAAAAGGTGAAAACCTGCAGGCACTTAGTGTAGCAATTATAGAAAATACAGCTTCACCATGTGAATGGATATTGCATCCACTTCCATATCCTTGAGAGAATGGTCAGTGAAGCATGAAAATATTTCCTCCTTATTACTGTCTTTCTCCTTTACAGCATTTAAACTGTATTATGCTGTTCAGACAGTGTGTTTAATTTTTAAGATGCCAAGTAGTTAAGTAATTTAAAAAATATTCTGATGGGTATGTTTGATACTTCTTTCTTAAAATTAGACATTAACATGGAGTTATTTGACTTTGGTACTGAACCTATGCATCTGTTCACCTTATTGGGATATTTCACAAGGACAGTAGCAGGTGCAGGCAATTGCCCACTTCAGCAGTGCTTTGACATACTTGATCTGTTTCTCCTTCCCACAGGAAAAGCTTTGCCAGCAGAAGTACAATGTCTCCTGCATAATGATCATGCCCCAATACCAAAGGCAAGGATTTGGAAGGTTTCTCATTGATTTCAGTAAGTGAAGTGTTTTATTTACACTTGTGATCCAAGGAGCTGTTGGCTGTTATATGAAAGTATAACATATGAAACTTTATTTAACTCACACTGTTGTTTTTATCAATAGATAATGGGATTTCTGTTTATATTTACATAGGATAGAAAAGCTCCCTGAAGTGAAAAACTTAGTGCTGCTCTGTTATTGTACTCGAGGAAATTGAGAATGGATCTCTCGGCAGTAATACTAGCTCACAAAGCTATTACCCTGAATGAATTGTCTAAATTACTTTCCATTTTGCTTTGCTCATTAGTATAAGAAGAGGCAATTATTTGTGATTATAGCTAAGAAGGTATTAGTCTGAGGCATTCTCTCCATTCTAATATTTCTAGCTTATATTCTTTTTTAGCAAAAAAAATAAAAGCTTTAATTGAAGAATTGCCCCATGGAAGAATGGTTTTTGTCTTCATCACTTTCTTAGTGAAAATTTGTACCAGAAAGAGGGTGTAGGTGTTCATGGCTGTGCACGTACTTGCTGCTTTATTTTGCTGAGCTGTCTGACTTGTTAGAAAGCTTCAGCCACACTTGTGTAAATATAGATTTGTTATTCCCCAAATCTTTGTGTACAAGGGAACTCCAAAATTATCTAAGGAAACTTCTCAGTTGAGTGTCCTCATTACTACTGAATCCATTATTCTACTGTAATTTAGAGGGAGGATGATAAGGAGTTAGTGTATACTGATTGTGGCTGCTTTTCACTGTTATGTTGTATAAAGCACTGTAGAATTGCATGAGGGTAGAGATACTTCAGATAATAGGATTCCTGCCCTGAAGGTATGCAGGAACATTAAAATGCAAATAATAATACATTGCAGTATAACAGCAGGACAAAGACAATAATTTGTAACTGTAGAGTTTTCAAGTTCTGTTCTTGCAGTGTTGTACCCAGCATGACAGTACTAGAGTGTATAAAGATACTTAGTATGTCCCATCATTGCCTGGCTTTATAAACAGCCTTCACTACACCCCTGTGAGTTAGGTGAAAATGGTTCTGGACCACTTAATCTGCCACAGAAATGTAGCTGTCACTGGAGTGGAACACAGCAGCTGTTCCATTGTGTGCCTTCTGCAACCTTTTAGCAAAGGCTGTGAAGTACCACATCTTTCTGGATCTGTGGAGAGAACTTTCAGCCTCCTGAGGTAGAAATTGGCCCTGTTTTAGGATTAAAATCGTTTGGGTGTTTTTGCAAAAGGAGATGAGGAACTCTGAACTGGGCACTGGTAAGTGCTTCCAGGCTTTTCCTTTGTTTGTTACCCTGTGGTGTCTCTCTCCCCCTCTCAAAAAAGAAAAAAAAAAAAAAAAAAGCACTCAACAAATGTTATTCTGGTTGAGTTTGCAATGTTTATAAATACAGAACTGATGGCACAGCCATGAAACCCGTGGATTCCACAGAAGGTCTGGGTTATGAGTATGCTGTGTCCCTCTGGATGTGTGCTCTACTACTGTGCCTTGTGCTGCTCAATCTGGGAAAATCAATAGGTTGTTCTGGCCTTCTTGGTCTTCTGGAAGAATCTGGAAGTACATGGGGTTGTTTGAATCATTAGGTTTTTTGTGATAACTTGCTTGGAGCTTATCTGGTGGTATGCTTAGGCCTTCCCTCTTTGCAGGCACGTTCAGATCACAGGTGAGGGCTGCAGCTGTACAAACTGGGTGCAGGCCAGACACACCTTTAGCTTCTGCTGTGGCTACCAGACTGCCCACTTCAGTAGCACACAGGCAGTCCTTCAGTACTTTCCCTTTGTTTTCTGGACAGAGGTTCCCTTAACTACCTGGGAATCAGACTGTTTCATCTGCTGACAGAATGAGGAACCAAGAGATGCCTCACCTTACTGTGAGTAAGGTGCAAACTGACTATAAGGTAGTGAGGGAGCTGCTTGTGGCTGTTATTCCCTAGATGTAGAAAGGAAGCGAAAACTTGCAAGGCTAGTTTTCCTACAATGTATTTGTATCTTTTTCCAGGGGGGAGGCTGAATGCCATGAAATGGGGCATGGCTTTGTCTGAATTAGTGATCCCAAAAGCTGTCTTTGTACAGGAAAACCCTTCAAAGTTAATTTACTCTTTTTCTTGGAATTTGATGTGTTTCTGCCTTGTGACTAACTCCAATATTCTTTGTACTTTACTCTTTCTGTTCACTTGTGGTCTCCCGAGTATAAATTCCTCTAACTGGTTGAGAAGATATGATATAAAACCCCCCAGTTATTATTCTAAACTTGAACAGACCAAGTTTATCGTAGTTTAAAGCATTCTTTGCCAGTGACATTATCTAGACTGTCATGTTCTCATAAAGTCATTGCAAGATAAATTTTATGCTCTGAATAAGTCTTCATTTGTTATGTGGGTAATGCTTGTAAACTGCTCTATTTTGAAGTCTGTGAAGCAGTCATTGGTACTTGTCTTCTTTTATAACAGTAACCAGAACATGTTTAGACTATAATAATAAAAATGTAACTGAGCAAGTAATTTTCAGAAAATGATAGTTACAAACCACAGAAGGGAAGATTTTAAGAACTGTGTGAAAGCAATTGACTGCTCACATTATTTTGTATATATCTAGACTTGATAGGCTGGCTAGAACACAGCCTTTAAGCCACTACACAACTTCTGCTTTGTCAGCAGTCTGCTGAAAATGTAGTTTGTGGTAAAAATTTGCTTCTTTTTTTTTGGTAAGTGAAATGCATTTGTTTATTCAGATTGTGATGCATTCTTTTATCTTGAGCTAATTCAGTCTTCATAGATGGGTCTTATATGGTCATGCTGTAACTAGCAAGAGAAAATAAATTCTTTCATTTTGCTAAAGGAAAAATAGGTATTTGTCTTTTGACTTCTGATTTTTGCTTTTTCCACCTTAACATTTTCCTAACTATATTTAAACTTACCTGTATTTCATCTTCAAACTGGTAATAGCAGTATTTCTTACACTGTAGACACCAAATCCATTGGTCTGTCTCTTCAGGAATCTATAATCTCACCTATGGCAATGAGGAGTTTTTAGAAGAGGAAATTAACTCTTGTGAGAAGCAGGTGTGCTGTAAAATGCCTGAGTTTGCAACTCTGGTTGCCTTCAGGAATAATTTGATTTCTAGTTTTCTGCATGTCATTCATCATTTAAGTAGAAATGTTGTTAAAAAATATGCTCTGTAACTGTGCTTTTAAAGACTGGTAAGATTATTTTTTTCATTAATTGTGGGGAAGTTAGAGATTTTGACTGTGATAGAAATTTTATAGGCTGTTTAGAAATTGAAAAAAGTTTAGCTATAGATATTTTATTAAATGGTTAAATTATTGATTTGTAAAATTGAAGACTTGATACTGCTCCATTTAGTTTGATTCACTCTAAGACAATCAGTTTAACCTGTTCTATTTTCATGAAGTATGTTATACTGAAGACAAAATGGTTTACATGAAGTCTGCTCTTTGTTTACACTAAGTATGCTTTATTAAATGTTATTTTGTAACACCAGATTGATTTTTCACATAGGGGAAAGAACTTGATTTTCACTTGGAGTGTAGCTAACGTAAAAAGTATTTCCTGAAAATGAATAAGGGTCTTAATTTACTTGTTATATTTATACCTTCCTTGCCTTTTATGGGACTAAAATCTGCCAAACATTTTGAGTCTGGGCTGTTTGTTTTGTTTTAATTTCTTTGTTGTTCTTGTATTCTGTGGGATTTACAGAATTGTGATTACAGGGTTTTGTCTGAGGGAGAATAATTGACTTCTGCACCCATCTTTTATATTTGCTGTAAATAAAGTTTTTGGGCAAGTAGATTCTAGCTGAAGTTGATCCAGAAATCAAGCAGAAAGCAGGCTTTATTGCCCAAGAGCCCATTGTGGGTTTATTTCATTTCAAGTCCTTTTGCAGTGATGCACAGCTATGGTTCCTGTTCCAAGGATTGATTATGTGTGCTTGCATTTGGGGGAGCTATCGGATGCGTCTGTCAGTTCAGCCTGTATTGCTGCTGTGGTATGGACAGTGCAAGCACTGAAGCCACAGTGTTGTAGCTTCTCTCTGTGCAGACCCATTTATTTTATAAACTTTAGCAGCTTCTCTATAAAAGATGTTTTTCTTTGCTTTCCTGATTTGAGCTCTTGTGAAGCCTGGAATCTTCATGTGCTTTCCATTTCTGTTCATTAGACTGCAGTGCCAGAACGTACTAGTATTTCTTTATTTGGCATATCTAACACAGAGTTCATTATTACTAGAATGAAATGCAGCAGTATTTAATATTTGTTTTCTGTAAGTTTAAAGTTGTCTTTTGATTCATACTTCTTTTCAAAGCTCATCTTGTCACAGTCTCGCATTTCTGCATGCTGGATTGCAAATTCCATGCTGGAGGCCTAGCCAGCAGCTGGAAGAAAAGAAATGCATGTGACTGTTAGGATAAACCTTTCCAACTGTGCTGGCTAGGATGTTGACAGTTCATTTGCATTACACTAACAACGGGGCTTAATGCTAAGGAGCAAAGTCCTTGGTAGCCTTTTGTTACTTATCTTGAGGCTGTTTCTGGTCCAACTGATGGTAGCAGTTTCTTCCCTCCCTCTTCAGAACTCTGTTTCTATTTGGTTTATTTGTTGATTGTGAAATTATTATTCTTGCTCAAGAGATGCAACATGTTTAAGGATGCTGGGATTCTGTTTTGGCTAAATGCATTCTTTGTTTTGTGGGTTTTTGGTGTTTTTTTGGTTCATTTGTCTGTGTGGGAAAGTCAGTGCTAACTTTTTTAGCTTTCCTATCACTTATTGCATGAAACTTGAAAAGGCTGGATTTCTTTTTTTTTCCTTAGCTTGACTTAACCCCTGATTCACCCTTAAGATTCAGGATGTGTAGCTCAGATTTTTTTTTGTGAGAAAATCATAATAGGGAAAGGCAACTCTAGTCTGACAGTGGAAGAAACAAATATAATTTATATTACCTGAGAACTTCTATTCTGGTGTAGGAAAATCGGTTCTGTTAAGT